TGTTAACTCAGGGTATGTTCCGATATACACTGCGACCACTGAACAGTATGACGTCAATTTAGTATATTGGAAGCCCGTTCCTTTATAGCTAGTTATACTGGTGACTTATTAAAACGGAACGCAGTCCAGTATACTGTTAATCCAATTTTTTGGCGCCATTTTCAAATTTTTTAATGCAAGGTGAATATAAATATAAAGATTCCCTCTTTTCAAAAGAAAATTGGAAAATTGTATAAAAAAATTATTTATCAATTAAATCCATCTTATAAATAAACGTAAGTATTTTTTTTGTTTATTTAGAAACTTATCATTTTCTGATTCTGTTTCGACTGATCAAGTGATCAAAAGCACTGCGAGCACCTTACCTCGAAATCTCCAGTGCTCACAGTACAAATATGGCGGCAATTTATGACGTCATCAATTTCCCTAGGGTACTGTAGCAGTGTACTGGCAGTCCATAACGGAACGGATTTTTCAGCAGTAAGACCACTGCGCAGTGCTCGCAGTGTATATCGGAACATACCCTCAGTTGTGCGCGCGGCGCTATGTGTGCGTGCGTTTGTAAATATATAACTTTCATTTGTGAGGCAGTGACGCGGCAGTCGTCGTCCGAGCAAGACGTGTTCTTATCGCTTTTTCTTACGGGTATAGTCGTTAACAAAAATGTCTAGTTCGTCACGGAGAAAATGTTTAAGGAGTCAGGTAAATATTTGTTGATTTTAAATTTAGATAAAATTTATATATTACTTATCATGATTCTATATACGAAAAAATATATCCTTGTTGACATTTGCGTATTATTGTTTTAGACTCGAGAAACCATTGCTAAGGTATACGAATTTCTGTAAAAAGATGCGACAGATATATTTGAAATAGTAAGTGATCCAGTTTGCAGTGCAAGTCCAATTTTAATATCGAAATTAAGTGAACATTTAAATAGCGTACGAAAAAGAACAGCAATGGCAGTGGGGGTATCAGAGAGAACAATAACTAATATATTGGCTGAAGGAAAAGAATCTAACTCTAAATTTAAATCTCCGCATAAAGATCGTAAAAAACGTTTAATGAAGTTAGAATTAGACAACTTCAACGTTGATGTTATACGTTCCACTATTCAAAATTACCATTTAGAACATCGCGAGTTGCCTACCTTGTTAAAGTTGAAAAGAATATTTAGAGAGAAACTTAATTATGATGGAAGTATTTCGACTCTGCGTACAGCTTTGTTAACTCTTTCGGGTTTGGTGGTTAGATATCTAACCACCTTTTTAATATTTTATTTGAATATTTTCACGCCATCTATTGACAAAGAACGTACCTATTCTGATTCCGTAAAGCGTCATTGACCGAGTTTTATACAACTTTGGCGCTAGTTGTTGACTGTTACTTTATTACGATAATTCGAAATTGTGTGTGAAGTGAAATTTCATTATCAGTGCGTTGAAAATTGAATTTATAAGGTAAGTGAGCTAATGATACCGATATTTTTGTGTTTTTACATTGTTTAGTAATTATTTCATTGACTATTGTAAAAAAGTAAAGATTATCTTTAATATTTTTTTATAACTAACAAAAATTATAAGGTGGTTTGATAAGTGACCACTGTAGCTGTATGAGGTTTTAGTTTACTTGTATTGATGGATTGTGTCCTTTTGTTATAAAATTGTTATATTTTCAGAATGCCGCGTATAATGAATGAACGGGACATTGAAAGTATTCTTCTAGAAGATATACCTTCAGATAGTGACAGCATCTGTAGTGTGGAATCCAATGAAGAAGAGCAAAGTCTGATAGTCTTAGGAGACATACCTCCTGAGTTAGAGGCAGTTGTTGAGGACGGCTCTCCTTCGGATGACGATATTCCTTTATCTAATTTTACAAGTACATCGACGACTAATACCCCTGATTCTATCATGGTTCAGCCGAAGTGGAAGAAAAACTTTAGAATGGACGAACCGGGTGAATATACAGGAGATGGAGGTATACCACAACATATAATAGATTTAGAGAATGTCACACCTACGCAGCTGTTCGGTATGTTTTGGTCTGAAGAATTAATTCAAATTATCTGCTTTCAAACTAACTTGTACGCTACGCAAAAAGGTAACTCTTATACACCAACAACTCCTGAAGAGATAGGAGTCTTTCTTGCCTTGAACTTGGTGATGGGTATAAAAAAATTGCCTAGCTATAAAGATTATTGGTCCTCTGCCCCAGATTTACATGACCCTTATATATCATCTTTTATGCCACTCAACCGCTTTGGCTGGCTTCTAAATAACATACATTTGAATGATAATAGTCTCATGCCTACTAGGACTGACGCTAATTATGACAAGCTTTATAAGATAAGACCCTTGCTAGATATTCTAAGAAGAAATTTTGATAATAACTATAAGCCAACAGAAAAACTAGCTATAGATGAAGGCATGATAAAATTTAAGGGTCGCAGTTATCTCAAGCAGTATATGCCCAAAAAACCAATAAAACGTGGATACAAAGTATGGATGATGTGTGCTGAGTCTGGTTATTGTTTAGATTTCGAAATATATACAGGGAAAGATGGAACTAATGTGCAAACTGACTTAGGTGGAAAAGTTGTTCGTCAGTTTTGTGAAAATTTAAAATTAAAGTATCATAAAGTGTTTTTCGATAACTATTTCAACAGTTATTTGTTACAAGTTGATCAGCGTAAAGACAGTATTTTGGCTTGTGGTACTGTCAATTCTAATAGAAAATATCTACCCAAGCTGAAGGAAGACAAAGATCTAAACCGAGGTGAGCATGATTACCGGGTCTCTGACAAGAATATTGCTATTTTGAAATGGAAAGACAAAAGGTCTGTATTTCTTCTCACTAATTACTTAGATCCAACTACGACAGGTATTGTGTCACGAAGGGAACGTAATGGAGACAAAACTGAAATACCCTGTCCAGATGCTGTGATGAAATACAACAGTTCTATGAATTTTGTTGATAGATTCGACCAAATAAAAAGTACATATGCTATTGACAGAAAGTCCAAAAAATGGTGGCATAGAATATTTTTATTATTTTTTAGATTGTGCTGTCGTAAACTCTTTCTTAGTGTATAAAGAACTCCAGCAAAAACACCATCAGCAAATGGAACAGTTGAACGCTAAAGACTATCGCAGAAGTCTTTACCAAGGAATCCTAGCTCCAGCTCAGGCAAGGAAACGTGAACATGGTCCAAGACGCTCTTGTAGCTCCTCTTCACCTTTACCCATTATGATAAAACGCCAAAAACCCGCGGGTGAAAAGACAGAGGTCTTTTCAAAGACGATTCAGCATCAATGTTTGGGCAGGGGTAATAGGAAATAAAGTAATCGGACCGCATTACTTACCTGAAAATTTAGATGGAGATAGCTACCTGCATTTTTTACAAAATGATTTACCTGAACTGATGGCCGAGGTGTCAATTTACGATGAGGACCGACCCATTGTATTCCAAAATGACGGATGTCCAGCGCACTGGAGGTTATCAGTCAGGGAATACTTAGATGCGGTGTTCCCGAATTCCTGGATTGGTAGAGATGGCCCTATTCTGTGGCCCCCACGGTCGCCAGATCTCACCCCGTTAGATTTTTATGTCTGGGGGCGAGCAAAAGAACTCGTGTATTTTACGGAGGTCCCATCTAGAGAAATTTTACAACAACGAATAGAGGCGGCTTTTAGGCAAATAAAAGAAGAAATGCGACTGCGAACCACAACCGTGGAAATAAGAAACCGATGTCGCGCGTGCGTTCGGACTGGAGGGCAACAATTTGAACAAAATTTGTAATTTTTGCAAAATAAATGATTTACTTATTTCAATTTAATGTTTTGTTTCATTTTATACTTGAATCTAGTTAGTACCCTATAAAAGAAAGAGTCAGAGTGCTAATACTAAGCACGACTAAGACAGCATTTCTATCTAATTAGTGAAATCAAAAAGTCCCAAGTCGCACGTCAATCATGCGACCTGATGATATTTCTTTTATTTATGGAGAAAAAGAAAGGGACAGTAGAAAAGAAAGAGACAGAGATGACAGTTTTTATCTGATTTGCACAAATCATGTTAAAAACACTTTTAACTTGCAAATCGTATATAGGGTTAATGCGACCCCAATGCACATGTTTTTTTTATTTATGGAAGTAATTAAAACTTTTATGTGGCATATTGCATGCCGTTAGAAAGAAGATAGACCAAAGAACTTTTAAAAAAATTGGAAGATCATAATCAAAGGTAGTTTTTTTTTTATTGCAATCGAAAGTTGAAAGTTTAAATAAAAATTTATTTCTGTCAAAAACATTTTAATTCACAAAAAAAAGTTGTGATGGTACTACTGCGTTATTTTCATTCCAGGAGATCCGCATTACATTGAACATTAAATCAAAACCAAAAAATGGTGGCAATAACAATTACTTTTTTTTTAGTTTGAAGTTAAGTGCTCAATTTCGGATTTTTTCAAGAAAAGAACTAAAATTTATCCATAAATTATTCCGTGAGGTGTGGATTTTTTTTTAAGCTGAGAAGGTAGCTTCTGGCTGCTTCTATCCGGAATTTTCTTTTGGCAAACGATGCGCCAAACACCCTGTATATTTATACAAAGGACTTTAAATTTGACAAAGAGAACATTTCTTTGCTTCAAAAATATGCATCATGGTATAAGCTGTTAACAGAGTAAGGGCCGATTTTTCAAACCTCAGATAAAAGTACCAATAGTTAACTGAAGAATAAAGTTATTGGACTCTTTAGTCGTCGGATAAGTGATTGTCAATTTTTCATTTGATATTTATTCTATGAATAGCTATCCGACGAATAAACTTGTCTGTGAAAACGCTAACTTCACGAAGGTGAAACAACAATATTGAATGAACGTATGTTAGAAGAGAGAAGACTATTTCTTTCATTTCTGACATTGTCAACGTCGTGTCCAACGTCATTCAGATTTACTTTTGTAATATTACGGTACGAGTGAGGTTATTTTGCTGTGTAGTAGTTTTGTGCTAATTCTTTCGTTATTACATACAACTATTATTATGGAAACTAAGAAGAGGGAACGTTCGGCGAATTTCAACAGTGCTGAAGTTCAACTTCTTGTAAGCCTCGTCGGGATAAACAAACTTATAATAGAAAATAAAAAAACGGACGCTATCACTAATAAGGATAAAGAATCCGCATGGAACAAAATTGAAACTTCTTTCAACTCGAGTTGGATCTCTTCAATTGAACGCTCCTGGAAAACATTAAAATTAAAATATGAAGGGGTTAAAAAAGGCACAAAAAATAAGTCCTCTATCCAAAGACAGGAGATGTATAGGACTGGAGGTGGTCCTTCCAATGCTCCTGAATTTACAGATGTGGAAGGAAAAGTTATGAGCATTTGCTCTAACATAAAAGGATTGGATGCTCGTCATGATAGTGATACCATCAAAAGTGGTAAGGATTACTCCCAACATTTACGTAGGGAATTTATTATTTACAAGTTACACAAGAGTCACTCACGATTTTAAAATATTTTCAGTTCCAATATCTATCAGCGATATGGTAATAATGGATGTAGACGAGTTAAGAGGTAGTGAAACGCCAAATAATGCAGAGGATATTGGCCACCTTAGTATACCTGGTAGGTATTGTGTTTTGTGTAAACTCACCCAAGATTTTGTTTACTTTCACAACTACATTGATTGGTTATTCATTTCAGATATTAATGAATCATTAACTTTCGAACAAACAGATGACATCAAGATAATTGACAACCAGAGACATAAAGGTAGCTTTACTTTTTTTTTCAATACAATACAGTATATATTACATGTAAATAACAAGAGACAGTATGATCGCTTCACGGGGCCGCAACGCGCTTACTGCGTGAAACAGTTTTATTTAAACAACTTTTCGCTCATTACTGTGAGACGCTTATTTCGCGTTGAATATGGTTTACACGACTCAAGTCAGTGTCCAAGTGCTCCTTTAATAAAGAAATGGGTGAAGAAGTTCGAAGAGACGGGATCTACACTAAATGTGAAACAAACCGGCGGCCCGCGGACTTCTCGAAGCGAAGAGAACGTGCAGCAAGTTTCCGCTTCTGTTCGACGTGATCCAGGTTTATCGACACGCAAACATATAAGATCCAGCTAGTGCAAAAACTAAACCCTAATGATTTAAAGGGAATTGTTCAGTTTGTATGGGCACTTTGGCTTTGAGTGGACATTATCTACAGTTATAAAAAACGTTATTTTTTAATATTTCATATCTTAAGGAAGTTAACTGTTGTAATATTTTCACGGGAAAGTTTAAAATTGTATATATATAAGCATGTGTAGTATTCCATTAACGATGTAACGAAAAGGTTATTTTTTGTAACATACTTTAATTACCTTATCATCATATTAATTTATTTATGTTAGAAATAAGAAACAGAGATGTCTAAATAAAGAAATTGTAGATTTACACATATTTACCTTTAATTTGACAATACAATTCTACAAGCAAAAGACAGTACTTCTAAATACACATATTTATAAGAATAGACTTTACATAATCACTTAATAAATAAATTACACTGCTCATACAGTTTCTCTTCAGCTGGAGGCTAGCATTTGGGCAGTCAAAAAAGGCAGCTACATTTATATAAGTTGGTCACATGACGTCCTAATCTTTGAATCTTCCACGGCCTCTCCTAACATGTGCTCTCCCTCAAACAAGACTATTCTCCTGATTTGTGCTCACCCTCAAGCACAACTCTTCGGCTAGGAGCGGCTGTAGACTCACATTTACATCTGCGCCTATTAACAGAAAGGACTATTTTAAAACACCTATTCAGTACATTTGCACATAACTACTTAATAATAAATTAACATTAAATATTGAACAACTAGTTAATAGTAGCAGTATTAATAGTATATCATTCTGATGAAAGATGTAGCTTCCCAAAGCAAAAGAATTTTTTAAATCAATTTAATTTTAACTGAAGGAACTCCTGTTTAGACAGACCTTCAAAAGTGCATAATGTCTTCAGTCATTCCTTCAATATTGTTAAAATCCATTGTAAGATTTCTTTTTTACAAATGAAGCAAAATCTTGTATAAGTTCTATAGTAAATGTATGAATAGTTTGCATGATAGACAACCATTCAGCCCAATTATTATAATATAAATGAGAATTACAGTCTACTGGTTTTTGGTACATAAAAGTTAAAATCAACAAACAATTTTACCTGAAGCCATCTGGGAACTGTCAGTTGCTGTAGTGAGTCTCAACCCGGAACAAAACATTATGCTTGTGAATCAGATGCTCTTTTAAAATCCGGCAAGGTAATGTTCTGTATAGGTTCTGGAATATTAGAAGGAACTGTCTCTATCTGCTCGCTGCCAACATGGATGACAGATGTGATCAGATCCATGCATCTAAAAGAGTATAGTATATAATTAAATTATTTGTCAACAAAATGTTATTTAACGATATGGTAGCGATATATTAATGTTTTTCATGTCATAAAGGAAGTTTAATTATAGTAATCATTAATAAATAAAAATAACTATAATCCTACCTGTCGTGGGGCAATCCAATCAATAATTTCATTTCTAATGTGTGTTTCTCTGTCGGATATTGTTTGCAGTAGATGTGATCTAGTACGTAATATAGATCTTTCACAATTTATACAAAGCTGCCGACGATATTACACGATTTAAATACATTCATTAAACCAAACAATTTTGAATTACCAATTCTATCTTTCTACATGGATTTACCAAAAACAACACGTTAAACGATATTAATACGTTATTTAAGGAATTATTTTATATAAACAATCATTTTAATAAGAATTATCACTCAAACATATTTGTTGACAAAGTGAAAAGGTGCTGCCATATAAAAATCATTAATCGATTAGAAAGTAATCGATTATTAGTGTAAATTAACTTATATCTAACCGAAAAGGATTATTTGTTATGTTTTTAACATATTTGATACATGATTTTGCAAAAGATCACCTATTGTATATGCATTAATATATATATACTTTAATTACTTTCATTTGTATTTATGTTAAATCTTATCGATTAATCGATACTATTAGTAATAGTACTTTAATAACATTTATTGATATGGAAACACAGTGAAACATATTAACAAACCACATCCGAATCCAAAAAATTCTTTTAAAAATAATATTTTTAATGTTTAGTTTCCCATGACGAGAGTATAAAAAATATTTTTTTCAGTTTTAATAATATTTTACTGTTAACATAGTTTTTACTAATTAGCTTGTCCACCAAAAGCCAAAATTGAACAATTCCCTTTGCGTAAGTCATATGCCGAAACAATGTTAACTCGATTCAGTAATTTTGACAACATCTTATTCTCTGACGAAGCCCATTTCCACCTAAATGGACATGTAAACAAACAGAATTGCAGGTATTGGAGCAGCGAAAATCCTAAAGCTAAACATGAGAGGCCACTTCACTCTCCTAAGGTAACTGTATGGGCTGCAATTTCAGCAAAAGGAATCATCGGACCTTACTTTTTTGAAGATTCTCGAGGCCGTTCAGTTACTGTTAATTCTGCTGAGTATGTGAAAATGTTACGGGAGTTCTTAGCACCGATGCTACTGGAATTTGCTGGCTATAATCGTAACACATGGTTTCAACAAGATGGAGCCACGTGTCACACATCGAACGAGTCCTTGCCGGTGGTCAAAGACATGTTTCCGGAAAAGCTGATATCCAGACGTGGTGACATCCCATGGCCACCCAGAAGTCCAGATCTATCCCCAGCAGACTTCTTTTTATGGGGTTATTTAAAGAGTCGTGTCTACATTGATAAACCGAATACACTGCGTCAACTTAAAGAAAAAATCATCGAAGAGATGTCGGCGATCTCGCGGTCTCTTTGCAGAAGAGTATTTGAAAACTTCAGGACTCGCTTAGATGAGTGCAAAAACCGAAACGGTGGTCATTTAGACGAAATAATTTAAAAAAAATAAATTACAACTAATTAGCTTTCTCGTAAATAAACGATTTCTAAAATATGTTATAGATATGTTAACTCAGGGTATGTTCCGATATACACTGCGACCACTGAACAGTATGACGTCAATTTAGTATACTGGAAGCCCGTTCCTTTATAGCTAGTTATACTGGTGACTTATTAAAATGGAACGCAGTCCAGTATACTGTTAATCCAATTTTTTGGCGCCATTTTAAAATTTTTTAATGCAAGGTGAATATAAATATAAAGATTCCCTCTTTTCAAAAGAAAATTGGAAAATTGTATAAAAAAATTATTTATCAATTAAATCCATCTTATAAATAAACGTAAGTATTTTTTTTGTTTATTTAGAAACTTATCATTTTCTGATTCTGTTTCGACTGATCAAGTGATCAAAAGCACTGCGAGCACCTTACCTCGAAATCTCCAGTGCTCACAGTACAAATATGGCGGCAATTTATGACGTCATCAATTTCCCTAGGGTACTGTAGCAGTGCTGTAGCAGTGTACTGGCAGTCCATAACGGAACGGATTTTTCAGCAGTAAGACCACTGCGCAGTGCTCGCAGTGTATATCGGAACATACCCTCAGTTGTGCGCGCGGCGCTATGTGTGCGTGCGTTTGTAAATATATAACTTTCATTTGTGAGGCAGTGACGGGGCACTCGTCGTCCGAGCAAGACGTGTTCTTATCGCTTTTTCTTACGGGTATAGTCGTTAACAAAAATGTCTAGTTCGTCACAGAGAAAATGTTTAAGGAGTCAGGTAAATATTTGTTGATTTTAAATTTAGATAAAATTTATATATTATTTATCATGATTCTATATACGAAAAAATATATCCTTGTTGACCTTGATTTGCATATTATTGTTTTAGACTCGAGAAACCATTGCTAAGGTATACGAATTTCTGAAAAAAGATGCGACAGATATATTTGAAATAGTAAGTGATCCAGTTTGGAGTGCAAGTCCAATTTTAATATCGAAATTAAGTGAACATTTAAATAGCGTACGAAAAAGGACAGCAATGGCAGTGGGGGTATCAGAGAGAACAATAACTAATATATTGGCTGAAGGAAAAGAATCTAACTCTAAATTTAAATCTCCGCATAAAGATCGTAAAAAACGTTTAATGAAGTTAGAATTAGACAACTTCAACGTTGATGTTATACGTTCCACTATTCAAAATTACCATTTAGAACATCGCGAGTTGCCTACCTTGTTAAAGTTGAAAAGAATATTTCAAGAGAAACTTAATTATGATGGAAGTACTTCGACTCTGCGTACAGCTTTGTTAAAGTTGGGATACAAATAGCGAAAAACTGTGGATAACAGACGTGTTATTATATAGCGACATGACATCCAAAAACTACGATTTTCTTACCAACTTACTCAGATACCGTCAAGAAAATCGGTGTATCGTACATACAGATGAGAGCTATATATTAACTAATCACGTACAAAACAAAGGATGGGGTAATAAAGATGGACCACCTTTAAAGAGAAACCTGTCGAAAGGACAAAGAATTATCATTGTGCACGCTGGTTCAGAACAAGGTTTCGTACCTAACGCACTATCGACATACAAAGCAAATAGTGTTTCTGGTGATAACCACTCTAACATGAACGCAGAAAACTATGAAAAGTGGCTAAAAGAACATCTCGTACCGAATATTCCACCTAATTCTGTGGTTGTGCTTGATAATGCCTCATACCATAATGTTCAAAATGACAGAGCTCCAAATTCTAATTCCAAAAAAATAGAAATGCAGAGATGGCTGACAGAAAAAAATATAGCTTTTGATCAATATATGAAAAATTTTGAACTGTATGATTTGGTTAAAAAAAATAAAGAAAACCACATCTGTTATAAAATTGACGACATACTTCAGCCATATGGCATAAAAGTTCTTCGACTGCCCCCATATCATCCTGAATTAAACCCCATAGAAAATGTGTGGGGTATTTTAAAGAATTTTATTGCTTCGCATAATGTCGAACAAAAAGTGACGGGACTAATGAAACTTATACATGAACGTTTAAGTCAAATTGATGAAGATGGTATGTACAAGGTATATAACGTTATATAAATACTAACGAACTATAAAAATAGATGTGTTCGTGATAACCCCCGATACGAATCGTGCAA